TTGATCCAAGCGAAGATTAAAGCCAAAAACGTAAAAGCGAAGCGAAGCGCCCCAGAAAACCAAGAAAAGTTGGAAGTCCGTTCAGAAAAATCCTTCAAAATTCCTAACATGCTCATGCATTGCCACTTTGTATAAGACATTTCTCTGCACTTGCTGTATTTTTCTCTCAGCTAGAAATTGAGTAAACGAAGTTTTTCATGTTCTTGCCAAATTAGTGCTGAGATGTTTTAACACTGACAGTTGTATAGGACCAATAGGACCTATACAACTGTCAAGACCTGCACCTATATACCAATACCTATAGGACCTTGGAAGCGTGAATGTGAATTTTCAGCTTTTTACAGCAGCTGGTTTACGAGAAATATTGAATTTTCAGCAACTAGGCAAGAAATTTGGATAAGGACAGCTAGATTCGTCATTTCTCGTGAACTAGCAGTTCTAGATTGCTGAAAATGTAAAGTTTCACTGCTGACGGCATGTACTATACAACTGTTCGTGCTAGAACATCTCAGCACTAATTTGGCAAAAACATGAAAACCTTCGTTTTCTCATCGTCTAGCTGAGAAAAAATACAGCAACCCCATAGATAAATGTGTTATATAGAATGTCTACGCGTGAGCAAAAAAGAAATTTTGTAGGATTTTTCTGAACGAACTCAACTTTTTCTTGGTTTTTTTGGGGCCCTTCGATCTTTTTCGTTTTTAGCTTTAATCTTTGTTCGGACCAAAGCTGCTGCAAAAACTTTAAGCACTATCTTATAGAGCTAGGTTGCTCTATCCAATGATATATTATAGGATTATCCCGGATTATTGAAGTTTGTACCTATTTTGATGCAGGAATTATGCATCAACCTAATAGTAGAGGTTTTTTCACTCACAAAATCAAAGGTCCTTACACATGCGGGAAGAAGTGAGCGATACATAAGTAGAATGCACCCATTTTTGTCGGGATTTTACAAAAAAAAATGATTATTTGCACATTGTGAAGTATCAGGTCGTTCCGAAAGTAATTCGCTTTTTCAAACGTACGCTACACCTCGTGAAATAAAGATGTGTAAGAGATTCTGGTAGCATTCGATGCAGCATTTCATTCTGTTTCTGACGCTTTTACATTCATTGCTTAATTTCAATGAGCTTTGGAAAACTTACCAAAATCTGCGACTCACGCTTTTTGACAAGGCTAAGTTGCACAATTTTTCTACATTTTTATATCAACCCTCGGAAGAAGTTCAGATAATGGATGGATAGAGCAAACCCTACAAGAAACACCACAACTCTTTTCTACTTTTCAGAGCTCGTCATAATTTTTGTGTAGATTTTTTGATGGAACCACCAAATTTTAGCAGGCTCGTCTCAGACACAAATGCATCAAAGACAAACAAATATTCGGATTTTGAAACTTATAAAAGATGAATTATGGTTTGACACTAATTTCACATAGCAAATGAGCGTTTACCGCTTCACATTAGCAACTTTCGGGATTGACTGGGGCGCCCTGAAAAACCCGAATTATGATGATTTTATCCCGAAAAACTCGATGAATCGGAAACCAAAGACAGCAGGTAAAAAGAGGGAAAAAAGCTGCGTAGAATGACACCCGAGTTGCTTGCCGATTGTTGTCCTGTGAGGTTTGAGTTCACCAAATATGGAATTTTATGGCATTAAAAAATTGATTCTAGAAGCTCTAAGAAGCAAGCTAAAAAGAAGAAAAAATTGCTTTGTGTCCTATAGGGCTCGCTCTATCTACCAGTCACTTGTACTTCTTCGGAAATTAGGCACAAAAATTTAGAAAAACAGCCGAACTTGACCATGGCAAAAAGCAAGATTCGCAGATTTTGGTAATTTTTCGAGAGCTGATTGAATATCATGCAATGAAATTACAACCATTAGAAAGAGTATGAAGTGCTGCATCGAATGCTTCCAAGATTCTTATAAATCTTTGTTCTACGAGATGTGGCGTTCATTTGAAAAAAGCGACATTACTTTCGGAACGACCTAATATTTTTAGCATGCATATTTCTGGAGACTCACTGACAACGGGCCATTTATTGACAACGCTACTCTCCCACTTCGCTTCACCCCCCCCCCCAAGTAGCCTTTGCATTTGTGGAGAAAAAAATTTGGTGGTGCCTAATTCTTGAATTGAACTATGGTTGATTGCGCTAGTTTCTACACATTTGTGCTGATAAAAGTCAAGCTATGAGAGCTATGAGATGGCTATGAGAGTCCGAAAACTCGATCTCTTGGCAATCAAAGACTAGTCATTAAAATTTTGTTCTAAAGCTCGTCACGATCAACACTTGAAAAATTTGCCAGGTGCAGAAGCCGTAGTGTGTTGAGAGAAAAATTTTGCTTTTTGAAATTCCGAAGCATGTTAAGGAAAACACCTTGATGATAAATTGTGCGACTTTCATGGTTCTAATAAATAGGAGCTGTATCATTGTTACTGCAATCTCTCGGAAATTTCCTCTTGACTCCTCAAAGATCCACATACAAAAAGATTATATTGAGGCTTGTTTATTCATAAATTATTGTCAGAACCCTCTTTGTACACTTCGCCGCCTAGTATCAACCCAAAATCAGTTTTTACTCAGAGAGACGATACAGACGGTAGAGAGGTCCTCTGGACACAAACAGGGACAGAAAACATACCTTACAAATAATGAGCTATCATGAAAGAACAACGAAAATTTGCAAGGAACCAGCTCATAACCAGGAATGACAAGAGCACTCAGTACTCTTGACTATGGAGCATATTTGATTTCTGTTTGATATGCAGAAACTTGCTCTGTAACAGAGCAAAGCAGAAAAAAATCTATCGCAAGAAAAGAAGATCAAAAAGAGAGCCGTTCTCCATAGTTTTGACATGAAAAAAAACTTTTCACCAATCTTGTTGCCAGTTTTTCGAGCTGAGGAGATGAAGAAAATCGCATTTGTTCTTTTGGTCTATGATGATTTAAAGCTTCAATGCGAAGCAAATGGAACTAGTAAAAATAATGCAGTAAGCAACTTAAGAGCTTCGAAAATATGATTCCTACAGATCACCAGTTTCCCAAGCTCATGGTAAATTGACGAAAACACGCAATCAGCATGAGGAAGTAAATTTTTGCAATTGAATCAAGTTCATTCGTTCGGGTCCATCCCGATACAACATCAAAATAGATGTGATTCGGATAAACCAGCAATTCGTATCATACTCAGTTTTTGAAAGTGTCTTCTACGAATGGATTAAAGAGCTTACAAAAAGACATTAGAGCCATTTTTTTGAAATTAACTGATTTTTATGGAATCTATGGAAGTTTGGAAGTTGTCGTTATACCTACGCAACCTAGAAAAAATGCTATAATGTTGTTTCATATATCTTTCTCCGAAGACTTGAAGTTTGTTCAAAAAAGCATTCCAATTCATTTTAGATTTCATTCGACCAAATCAAATTCGGAAAAATACACTCGGATCCCAGGTATTTGCAAGATTCTTTCATCACGATTTTTTTGGTTACAAAATGTCGTATAACCAAGATTAAGACCAGAACACTAACTTACTCGATCTTATGGCATTCTCTACATATGATCCAAAAATTCAAGGAGTTGGTTATTTTGAGTCACTTTACTATATGCCAATGGTAAATTTTGTTTCCTGCACCACCAGCAAGCTCATGATTTCTCTTTGAAACTTCTGACTATTTACTTTGAATAGCAGAACCTTAGCAATAACGAAAATTTTGAAAATGCCCATATATTTTACCATAAAAGAAATATGACACAAGCACCAGTTGCAAATCACTCTAACAGCTATAAACATTACTGCTTCATCTCTCTGCACAACGTATTCATGCATTCTGAGTAACAAGCTAAATTTGGAGTAGACATTTATGCACACAAGTAGGTTCTGAATATAGTCAACTAACTCGAAGATTGTTTACTGTTCGGAATGTGTAGAGCAAAGCGAACGATGCACGCTTGACCGATTGTGCAACGATGTTGAAGCATTTGGAAATGGCGCAAGTTCCTACGAACATCACGTCATCCACTCACAGTTATTTTCTAGGAACTAAGAATGAAACATGTAGAGCTCTCAAAGGAGTGTTTATGGGTTTTTTCGCCCACGTCCTTTTTTTCGCCCACGTTCTTGAGTGTTTTGCAAGGAAAGAATGAGATTTTCTTTTCATTACATGCTTTTCTCTAAAGCAGACATTGAATGTGAAGAAGTAATGAGTGTATTAGGTACAGCAAAATTTGAGGAATTACTGCGAAGACCGACAATCCTTCGATCCTCCCTAGACCTCGAAGTTTTTTCAATTTTTCTTTACAGTTTTGATTTTTGATTTTTCAACCTCCATTGACATTTGCACATTTTCTAAGCTTCTGCATCTCTTATGCTTTCATAATAATTTTTCTATTTTTCCTGCATTTCCGTTGGTGGAACATATGGCGTTCAGCATGCTTCTTCTTACGCACACGTTGGAATTATTCACATGAGAACTATGAGCATTAAATGCTTTATTCAAAAACGTCAATTAAAATTCTCAAAAAAAACTCAAAAATCTCGCAAAAATCTCATCAAAAAATGTCAGCAAAAAATAGCAAAATTCACAAATAAAATGTGCCAAAAGAAGAACTATGTTTTGAAGCATGAAATTGTGTCAGGCAAAATCTACAAAATCATCAGCCAATATTTTTGAGTTCGGTTTCACAATTTCGACACCCCGTGTAAAAACTTTCAAAAGCCTCGTTTTGAACATTTGACTACTGAAAATCTAATCTCCCCGTAAATTTTTCTTGACTATGTACAAAAAATACTCAGGATCAGAGTTTCTTCACAGACTCCATTTTTCAGAATTCAAATTGCCCAAAATTCCAGAAGATCTCCGAAACAAGGGACCACAACCACTAAAGCGAAAAAATATACATCCTCTGTGGACTAGATATATAATTTGTTTCTATGATATTATATCTCTTATATATATCTATCAATTTTCTTAGCACTTTAAATACGAAAACTTCAAAAAGTATAGAATTTTTCGTTTTCGCCGATTCCAGCAATCCATTCTAGGACTTCCATAGTACTTTGGAAAGAAGGTCCATTGTTTCTGATGAAAACAAATGGTTTTCCACCCACAACTTTTCCGGGGAAGCTCTCATCCATATCACTGTTCCCCTGCTCTCCGTTTCCTTAAAACAGTCTTTCTCATACTGAAAAATAAGAAAGATAAAGTTAGGCTTACCAGGGTAGCTTGAATGCATTAATAAACTCTGTTGCACAAATTTCTCAATGTGATCCTCTATCCGTGCTTTTTTAGGCTTGCAGAACCTAAAAATCAGACCTTAAACTTTCACCAAGCTATTTTTCAAAAATTAATCGTTGCCTTGCGAATAATTCTTGATGTTCTTTGTATCCGCCAGACTGCTTAAAAGTGTTTAGAAGTGCTTTTCTAGTCCACTCTTCTAGAAAAGAATATCTATTATAGGTTATCACCTGTAGTAAAGATTGGTACCTTTATCGGAATCATCTCTCAGCCAAATTAGAAAATTCGCATATTCTTCTTTTGGCGAATTACGACAAGATTTGGACTGTTCTTGCAGATCGGTCAACCACTAAACATGACTTTGAATAAAAAAAAACTTGATATTCAACAGTATTTCAACAGATTCTAAACAGAAAATTTTTCAGAAAGCCAAAATTCTACCAGACACCACAAAAAATTACCACTTTTTTATTATTTTACTCACCACTAATTCTACGAAAATTCTAACGATTATTGTGTAAGATATTCGATCAACTTTGCCTAGTTACTTGTAAGAATTTTGGCTCTCATTAACAAGTAACGAAAACTATATTGTAAGCCTTATTATTCCAGTCCCTATGAATCTTTTTGCATATAAGTTATAGCTTCCAAAAATAAATACCTTATAAGTAAGTCTCTCCACTCTATCTTCCAATTCATCCACAGGTGAACAGACATGTCCGAGATCACATGGATTCCCGAAAAACTTCTCTCCGATCACCTCAAAACGGTAATTTACACAGTCGAATTCGATTGAAGAACATTACCTTGATTGTAGTCTTGACTTTTTCATTCCAACACTTCAGACATTTGAAAATCTGATAGTCTACGTTTGTCCGTTCATGGCAAAATACATAAGCATTATCGGTATCTGGAATTGAATACACCAGCACATCATGTCGTCCTTTCAAACTTACCCGTTTTACTCCTATGAATCTCGGATAAGATTCGTTCTTGACTGGCGTTACAGGACCTGTAAGTTTATCACAAAGAGGAAATTTAGGAGGAGAAGAGGTGGGAGAAGCCTCTTCCCCGGAATCGGGTACAAGATCCTGTACAAGAGGTGAAGGGCAAAGTGCAAGGTTAGATTCTTTACTAGTAAGTGCACAAAAATCCTCTGATGGATTAGTCGGTTTAGATTTTTCATTCTGATGTGCAAGTGCAGATGGTGCAGTGTAATCGTCGGAATCTTCACTATATGGTGAATAGTACGGAGTCTCAGAATCGCTATTATAACGATGACGATGATGAAACAAAGGAGAAGAACGAGGTGAATCCTCTTCATCCTCATCGTAATCAGAACAGGAGAGAGGATCATAGTCTTTGAAAGAAGTTTCAGAACCACTAAAATTGTAACGATGGCGATGATGAAAGAGAGGCGAAGAACGAGGAGAATCCTCTTCCTCTTCATAGTCTTCCTCGGAATCAGAAGCATTTGCCAGAGGCGGCGAAGCAGAGCGAGGTGCAGAAATAGAATCTTTTAGCCATGGATTACGAAGATGAATTTTTGATAGCTCAGAACTTTGCATTTTGTACCTTTTAGGGAACCTCACAGATGATGGTACACAATTATCTACTGATGTTTCGCGAAGTGGTTCACGAGAAGTCGATCCAGAATTTTGAGAAGACATGCAAGGAGGTACAGGAAGGAATGGGTTTGGAGGTTCTATACGGGTTAGCAAAGGAGCTGGGGAGTGAGAATATACATTTTGAGGAGGGACTTGATAGAACTTATTTTTATTAGCTGCATATGATATTTTAACCGGATTCGGTTGAACATTTTGAGTTTTTGGATTCGGAGCAATTTGGATTACCCGGTAAGATTTTCCAGAAGTCGAAGGAATAGGAACATTATCAGCGACCATGTACTTGAGGCAATTCATGCTAAAACCAAAAAATTATGAGACTGAGGCTGCCTGCTACTTTCGCTCTTTATATAGTTATTAGCCAGGCCAATCTAGGTAAAGGTTAATTATCTCGTGACATATCCATGCCCTAACATTTCCTTGTTATGTTGTCAAGGTCATATGTAACCGTACCACGATGTCAATGCCCCAGGAGGAATCCTGTGCTTCGAACCATGGCGAGAAAGGGGATAATTTGTCAGAAGAAATAATCTAGTATTAAGAAGTATTGAAGTTCTAGATTGTAAGCTCGTAAATGTTTGTAAGAAAACTCATTTTATACCTCCCTGTGTGCTCTCCATGTAAGAACAATAATGGTTCTCTATCTGTGATAACCGTATTTTGGAAAAGTCCAAGGTCCCCTATAAATGTCACGTCATAAACTCAAATTTTTTTGAACTTGAGCTAATGAGGGTTTGATATGTGTTTGAAGCTTTTCAGTCCATGTCATGATAGTTGGAGAAAAGATTGAATCGCTTTTCCTCTTGCACTTTTATTTGGAGTTTCGCTCAATTTTGATAGTGCTGACAAAATTTGATTTCTTAACTTCAAAATATCCGAATCAAGGCCGTTCTTAGAAGGGACAGTCATAAGTGACAGGGAAATAAATATTCATCGTATTTTTTGAATCGTACTATTTTGAGCTTTTTTTGTTGACCTACTAATTAGGCTTCATCGTTATCCGCACTATGTTTCACGACTCTTTGGTTTACTCCTTCAATTCTCAGCTTTTTCTGCAAATGGACCACTTTCATATTGCTCCTCTAATCTTCTTCATAAAATGAGAAAATATGCTCACATGAGAACTATGAACATAAGCGCGTTATCCACATATTAATTTTATTCAAAACTCAAATGACACAGTTTCAATTAGGGACTAGCATGTCAAAACGGTAGTTTATTGAAAATTTCCAAAATCCCAGAAAAATTCCACTACCTGAAAATTAGGCAAATGTTCTGGTTGTTCTGTTGTTTTTGTTCAAAGGTTCTAAAAACTGATTCCAGAAAAAAATCCGAGAGCTCAAAATGCTGATGTGCCGAATGAGCACAGCGCAAAATGCCAAATCCAGCAGATGAAAAGTAAGCTAAAGACATATGCATGGCTTTCCTTGAATCATGACAGGAAATGAGAATTTCTGCTTCTAAAAATTTGCCACAATAGCCGGTGGTACAGGGGTTTCAAGAAAAAAAAAAACGAGAGAAGCTGAGCTATACCCCAGGTAATTTGAGAAGAACATCTGGGGTATTGCCTCAACTTACCCGTAATCGTCACTAATCGGCATTGGCGGCGGGGGACAAAAATTTCCAAATGCGTAGAGTTAGCCACGCACTCCGAATAATTTCCGGGATGCTTTCCAAAATTATTTTCTCGGGTCCATGAACGCGAAATTTCGGAAAAAGGGGGCGTGGCGACGGCCACTCCCGTAAAATTTTACGAGGAATCAGACAAAGCTCCAAAGAGGTTTCCATTAATAGCCTTCTGAAAGCTTGTAAAGCTTATTTTTCCCTAATTTAACAGCTGCGTGAAGGTAAGAGAATTCCAATTGAGATTTGGTTTTCATTCGATACTCAGCCAGCTCAATCCTGATATTGCTTCATTTAAGCTGAAATAAAATTTGAAGTGAATTTCAGTAGCCCAGTTTTTCCGAGCAAAATGGAATGGTCTGGTTTGAAAAATACCCATAAATCATTATCTTTCTCAAATACACTCTTGGACATTTGCATGTTGTTTGTAATGGGAAATCGACTAAACACTTTCAAATAGCAGAAACTAAACTTGACTAATAAACTTCTGAACAAATATTTTTTTCCAAAATGATTCATTTGTAAATTGAAAAAAATCCATATGCCGTTCACTAAGAATTGCGTGAGGACGATAAGTAAGCCCCTTAGCACTTCTTTTTTGAGCTCGGCTTTGGAAAACGAGCCCAGCATCGTACAGCATCTAAATCGCATGCGCAAAGTGCCCTCTCACAGTCGGTTTTTCCTAAAAGATTGTAGATAAATTAGCGAAAGTCAATGCGTACCATTGCGTAGTAACTGATTATGAATCAACAAACTGTTTACCTTTACAAACAGCCGTATGATTGTTGCACTCCCACTTGTACGAATCCATGTATAATCCTATGGTACTACATTTCCCTCTTTTTGCTGCTCGATAGCAATCATCATGTGTTTTGCAGCATCTGCGAGTGTTGTAATAAAAAAGAGCTCAAAAGTTCATAAACTTACTCATCAATCCCAGTCTACAGTTCTGCCAGAACCTAAAATTCCGCAATAACATCCGTAACCAGCGTATACCTGCAAGTAAATTTCTTCAGCGACTTGGACATCAGGGGCACTTGTCTCGCATAAAGGTTGAGATAAAAGTAATGAGAACTTTTCACTTCCCATTTCAAACTTTCCTCAAATCGTGTAAAATAATGTTAGATGAGTACCCTAAACTATATTAAACGCAGTTTTTCATTCTCTTTCCAGCAACCAGGGCAATTACCTAATTGACTTCTTAGTCGTCGAAAAAATTCCCCAAATTTTGAGCCCGTCATTTTTGCTTCGAATGAGTTCAGCTAATCCTCAGAATTTTTACTCTGAGATTTTCAGACAAATTCGATTGTACAAAGACAAAGCAAGTCCTGCTTAATGCAAATCGCTTCTTGAGCCTATCAAAATTAGCATTTTGGGGCTTTTTGAAAACCATTTTCAAAAAGACCTAAATTTTCAAGAAATCGCTGAAAACAAAAAATGCATTAAACCCTAAACTCTACAAACTATCGAATTTGGGAGCTCTGAAAATAGTTTATTATCAAACCTTGATAGTGCAAAGTAATTAAGCGTTTACCGCTTCAAATTACCATAGTCTAGATTTTTGGCACTTCTGAAGAAACCATAGAACTTTAACAGCAAACGCTTCGGGTTCAAAATTCTGCAGATATTGCGCAGTTACGAAGTGATTTGATTGGAAGTCATAGCCGTTGGAATGAGAAAGAAAACCGTGTAAGAAACCATTCAGAGAACTTCCGTACAAATTCTACCTAATTTGAGAATAGGTCTAAGCGGAGACGAGTTCTCATTACTTTTGACTTACCTAGTACAATAAGCTTACAAGAGCACTATAACCGAGCTCGCATTTACATATCCCACCAAAGTTGATCAGAGCAGCCTCCAAGCACGTAAGAAAAAGCACAATCAAAATTATACCGCTTTGCATTTGGTTTCACTTCGATAAAATGACACTAGTAAGCCGTTTAAAGACGTGTTGATGGGTAAGGATTCGTAAAGGGGCGAAAAGCGTACTTTTAGACTTTTACCGGGCTTATATATCACAGCACTCTGTTTTGCCCATAGGTTTTTTCTCAACGTAATCAGCACATATACACTTACCAACTAGATTAATGATAAACACTACTGATCAAACTATGATTCACTTTAGTGAGCCATCGCTAGAGCTGGTGCGATCGAATGTCAAAGAGGAATTTGGATCAACACAGTTACGACAAGACGATTTTTCGACTGACTGCCATTGACCAGGGCACAATTCGCAATGTTGAGTTTGCGTAATCTTTTTTGGCCGCTGATGACTCAATAGTCTGGTTAGTTTTTCGTAAATTAGCGAAAAGTAAAACTTCAGAAAGCATATGATTCACCGGTGGGTCGTATATTGTCGGGAATGGCGGAACACCTACGACCCACCAGTGGGTCGTATTGTCGTGAATGTGTCAAATGACATGTCAAGATTTACAGCCACCAATGCGTCACTTGTGCTTCGCAAAAGCTTGCACTGGCCATCATAAATCACATCGTAAATCTACCCTGACACATCAAGGAATGTGTCAGGGTAGATTTACGCTCTGATGACTTGTCTACCAAACCATTATCCAGGTGACTGTTGCAAAAACTCTGGATATTGGCAGGTAATCTTTTCATCCATCCTTTATTTTTTGCAAATGCTATTTGGCGATATATACAGAATTCGAGAAAATGTCGCTTTTTTCAACTTCACAGGTGAGCGCGTGGTCTGCAGCCTCATCATGGCGTGAGGGTGTTCTGGGCGTTAAACGCAATGCACAGCCGAGTGTATACTCTGGTAGGACCTCGGACCGAGTTTGAGGTTTTTTCAATTTAGGCCGGATACTCAATTCGCTCTACACCCGGCACCAGCGATGGCCCCGTGGAAATCAAGGAGTATTCCCGCTAAATCTGCTCTTGTAGGGGAACAATTCCAATGCATTGAGTTAGAAAAAGAGAAAGCTACTCTGCACAACGGATCCCACCCACGATGAAGCCGGTAAACAAGTGATCCGGCTTGGTGTGCAAAAATGAAAGCTTTGATGTTGAATGCTGGGTGTCTTATAAATAAACTGCATCAACTCTGAGTGTTTGTGGTAGAGAACAAACCTGACGTTCTTCTTATAACAGAAACATGGTTGATTAATATTCAGAACAGCGAAATTGTGGGAGAACTTCCTTATTTGGTTTCTTGTGCAGACAGCCGTAGAAGGGGCGTACATGCTCCACAAAAATGATTTTCTTTTCGTTACCGATAACAGCACCCTTCTAATATTTTTCTGATGTAAATTTTCTCGAAACAGCCTTAACATGTTTGCGTTCTTGCAGTCTACCGTCCACCGAACACCACAGCTTCCTGCGAGATAGTTGATTGAGATTCTAAGTAACTTTGTGAGCAAACATGAAAATACATTAGTTTTGTGTGACTTCAACTTGCAAATTGATTGGATTAAAGAGCGTCTCCTCTCACAGAACTTAAATAATGTTTTTTGAATTTTTTCAAACTCCGCCTTCAAACATCTTTTGATTCTGCCCTTAAACAATTCCGAGAAGCCGCGCTGCAACTGCATCCTTGAGCTTGTTTTTTCTATCTCTTCTATAATCTCTGATCCCTCTACATTTCGCGATCTACTGGCCATTTACGTCTTATATGTCCTGCTACATTTTCGAAGGGTTGACCATGCTTCCCCCAA